GCAAACTGCTGACCTGCTACTACATAATAACACAAAAAAACACATTGTCCAAAAATGTCCACATTGTGCAAACCTGTTGCAGCCCACGTGGGCATGAACAACAACACTGAGGGACAGCCAGAGGTAAAGCCACGAGTCAGAGAATCTTTGGAAGGAAACAGTGACCAAACTCTCTATGTCTCCATTAGACCTGCTGCTTCAATGTGTGAAACCACACTTTAGCAGACAATTATGCAGCCATTATGCCAAGCCAGGCAGGCAGACACGCCTGTTGGTCGCAGGTAAACTGTGTCCTATAAAGCAACAGCACAACAACACTGTCTTCTCCTGTTTCCTCCTTGGGTAACAGTCAAAAAGGTTGTTTTTCTAAAGAAAACCAAAGTTGGCCGTACAACAAAAATAATATATTTATTCCTGCTCCTTTTATCCCTAGACAGATAGACAGATAGATAGATAGATAGATAGATAGATAGATAGATAGATAGATAGATAGATAGATAGACAGATAGATAGACAGATAGATCGATAGATAGATAGATAGACAGATAGATAGATGTTTTTCTTTTACATCATCAAAGTACTCTGTGTCTAAAGTAAGTGCAGAACACATCACTGATGCTGCCAAATCATGGATTCATGGAAAAAAGAGTCCATGCTTTTATCCATGTGCTCTACTGTATTTTTCATAATAAATCAATTTTCTTGCTACTTATCTATCCATCATCCATCTATCCTTCCATTTATCCAGAAACCAATCATCCACTCGTCCATCCATGTGTCTTATCCACTGTTTTGAGTGGAAATTTTATTTTTTTATTCCAAGACTGTTTTTCTGTCTTCACTGAGCAGTCTCAGAGCAGCAGCACCACAGACCTCAGTCCAGAAGAATCAGATAAGACAGAACAGGAAACCAGTAAACAGACACTTTATCAAGGACAATGGAGATGACCATGTTGTTAGCCGGGATAACCTCATAGTGGCGTTGTACTGTACGTCTAACAACCAAAGCTGTAACTTACGCAGACAGATCATTAACATGTGCAAAGGACACACACTGCTCCCAGCTGACAACATCATATTTACAGAAGAGATGTTCCGATATCCAGCGTTTCTAGTAATACGGGGACAGAGTGAATCATCAAAGCTTACAGCGTAGTAATCTGTGTTTATGCTGTGGTACAGGACACAGGGCATGAGTCTCGAAAGAAGTAAACAAACAGGAAACATTGTTAGATGAAGTTGGATCCTGCTGTGTATTCACTCTGAGGAAAATTGAGGATTGAAAACAATCAACCGAGAAAATTAAAGGGAAATGCAGAAGGACATTGCGTTCACATGGACATGTGATCACAGTACGGACAGCAACAACTTCATTTGCATATAAACGACAGAACAAGCCGCAAATTATGATGTTGAGACCCACAGCACGCTGAAATCAAAGAAAGGGGAAGGAACAAAAGAACAAAGAGTAGAGCTGCTAAAATGGGTCAGAACGGTAACACAGTCATCATCATGAATGGAGACAATTAAAGATCACGTGTTTCTCACTGTTCTATTTGAGAGGCACTTACTTTATAAATGATGAGTATTATTTTTTTAAATAAAAATAATATAGTCAAGGTAGGAGTTACTCATTACTCCATCTTTATCTACATCCTAGTGCAGTTACCGTGCTCTGTTTCTCACATGCTTTCATTTTCCAGCATCTGTTTATAGCCAGGAAGCAGTGATAAGACCAGTGCAAACTACCTGTGCAGCAGCAGGCGGGCGGAACAAGTGAGCCTGATGTTTCCAGTCCTGAAAACTCTGTGGAAACACAATCAGAAACTGGAGCTCAATTTAACAGAAAACCAAGATAGGAGAGACTGAACCATATGAAGAGGGAAGATGTTCACTGATGATGCTGGAACTGCAGGGTGAACTGCTCTGGTTCACAGTCACAGGTCCTGACATGCTCACTTGTCACATACAGCTTGGGTTTTTGCACACAGGTTGGGTTTCACTTAATATGCAAGGAACTGGGGGGGGGGGGGGGGGGGGGGGTGCAGAGTTACATAAGTGTCAAAGGTTCGTGGGTAAAGGTTACTTTGCAGTGTTGGTGTGAGCTCAACACAGACCACCAGGCAGGTAAATACTAATACTGCAGTTTATTGTCTTCTCACTACCAGAAAGATGTTTCCATCCAAATGTAAAACAAATATTTATGTATGTCAAAATGAAAATTGAGATACTGTAATAAAGTACTAATTAGAGTAATACATGATACTATACTGAAACAGAACATGAGCAGTGAACAGCTGGTTATGGTGCGAAGCAGTTTTGAGGCAGTATTTGAAGTATTTGAATACTGGGCCTGCTACAGATACTTACCTTTAGTCTAAAATATGATTTAGTCAGTTAGTTAGTGAACTAGTTACTGAGTGTTTCCAGAGTTCCAAAGTTGTTCCTAATAAAGTGTCCTGGCTAATGTCACATGGTTCCCGCTGGTATTTTTCCTTTCTGTGCCTCCACCTCTCCTCCACCTCTCCTCCCTCTCTCCTCCACCTCTCCTCCACCTCTCCTCCACCTCTCCTCCTCCTCTCCTCCACCTCTCCTCCCCCTCTCCTCCACCTCTCCTCCCCCTCCCCTCCACCTCTCCTCCACCTCTCCTCCCTCTCTCCTCCACCTCTCCTCCACCTCTCCTCCTCCTCTCCTCCACCTCTCCTCCACCTCTCCTCCACCTCTCCTCCTCCTCTCCTCCACCTCTCCTCCACCTCTCCTCCCTCTCTCCTCCACCTCTCCTCCACCTCTCCTCCTCCTCTCCTCCACCTCTCCTCCACCTTTCCTCCCCCCTCCTCACTCACTCCTTCCGTCATCAGGCAACGTAAATGAGACGAGCTGAAATTGAACGTTGTGTGTAAACAGAGCGTGTCCTGACGGCGTGATGCGACACAGCTGATGGCCACTGCGTGATCCCAGCCATCAGATTGAGGGGAAGTGACCGATACAGACGGCCGCAGCACGAGCAGCTCCTCGTGGGAATCATTATCCATCACATGGCTGCGTGGGAGTGTCACAGACTGAGGGGGAAACGTGTTATTAAACCTATACATTATTGATAAAGCTGGGAGGGGAAATGAAAGGCAGAAGTATATTTGATGTTCAGTTCAGATGCTGCGTCAACACGGTATTTGTTCTTCAGTGTGAACGTCTTTTCTTCATGAAAACTTCCTTATCTCTCCCTTCACTGTGGTTCAGACACATGCGTCAGCTCTCTGTGGGGGGACCCTCTGAAGACCACCCAGGAGAGCAGATTAACACTCTTCTCTAATTTGATCATAGTAATTTCATGAGTCTGTCAAGCAGAGGCCTCTGCAGCAGTGACGGAGGCTGGTCACAAAGTGGCCTTTAATTTTCTCTGCCAGTCACAGACCGGAGTGAGTCACGCAGTAAAGGGAACATGTTTGCGCTGT